AGCTAATAAAGAGTAACCAAATGAACCGATCCATTCATTTTTTACTTTTTTTTCAAAACGATTTGTTTGAAATAAATGTATCAAGTGAAGAAATAGTTTACACCAAATTACGAAACATCAGAAAACCTAATTTTTCTGCTCATTGGGATATTACAAATATGTTACTGTTATTTATAACAATCTACCCAATGCTCAATTTATTCGAAATTATCAAATCAACCGTTGGTAATGAGACCTATAAAAGAGAAAAGGGTTTTTTTCAAAAAAAAATTCTGTTTCAGTAATCTAAAAGTAATATGCTTACTATTCAGGTCATGAATGTTCAAAGTTCGATCTTCGGCAAGATTTTTAGTTTACCATGCTGATCGGATACAAATGAAATCGGATATATATATATATATATATATATATATATATATATATATATATTGTAGTGGCCGGTACCATGGCAAGCCTGTTTAGGTTACTCTAGCTTCTAGACAGACCAATTTATTCATTCTTACCATGCTAGCTACATTTTGACATTGTCACTTATTTGTTTGTTAACCATGTTCGTTTTTATGTGTTCATTATTTGCCCTATTCATTATGTAACTGTAACATATTTTATTTAACTATAAATATCGATTCACTCTTGGTTAAATGGAGTTGGCTCACTCCTTCTTTCCAGTCCATCGACACATGTTCCTCTTTCCAAATCTTCTTGAATAGAACGGTAATCATTTTTGCCGTTACTTCTAGGTCTGACTTTAATGCTTCAGCCGGTATATTGTCAGGTCCTGTTGCTTCCTCAAACCTAATTTGTCTGATGAACATGTCGATTTCTTCAATCGTAGGTAGAGTGGCAGCTATAGAAAGGTTTGTGTGTGTTGCTTCGACATCCGGTGGATTCAACGAGACTCGTCTATTCAGGAGTTCCTCGAAGTGTTCTACCTATATGTTCCGTTGTTCTTGAGTCTCAGTGATTACCTTGCCTTCTTTGTCCTTGACCGGTCTCTCTGGTGTACCATATTTCCTTTCGCGTTTCTTCGTTAAGACATATAATTGTTTCGTATTTCCTTCTGTTGCAGCTTTTTCCACTGTCATTGATAGCTCTTCCACGTATTTCTGCTTATGGACTTCAAGGCTCCTCTTCATTTGGTTGTTTGCTTCTGTGTATTCAGCTTGTGTCTTGACTTTTTATGCTGTTGTTCGACTGTTGTTAATTGCGGTCGTCTTTTTCTTCCTTTTTGAATGATGTCTAGTATTGTGTATTATCCTATTTCTCCAACGACAAATTTTGCTATGAGCTAAACTGGAAATGTGAATCAATCATTTCAAAATGGTCTAGCCGACTTATTTTTCCACTTTTGCTCTGTGCAGAACAATAGGTGAAGATTGGAAGGAAGAAGACACAAAACTTGTAATAAGTACATGTTTAGTGCTTTTCAGTATTTAATAAAGTTATGTTTTACATTGGAATGTATAAATGATCTACAATGAAGATAGTTACCTATTTTCCGTACATATTCTAACAATCCGTCAGTTTTTGTCCATTTCTATATCTTTATATTGTGAGAGTAAAATGCTGTAACCTGAAATTTACACTTTACCGTGATTAGTCCCTTGTCACATCTCGAAATTTATTATAAACATTCATGTAATTTATGTTGTATCACTATCTATCACATAAAAAAACCCTGGGGCCCCTCTGGGTCTCCGGCCAGCCCCAAACCCGGATAAATGAGAAGAGTTGGGCATTGGGTTAGCGACTCTATCCCATAGAAAACTAACTCGCTAAAACAAAACGCTAATCAGAAAATCTACCAGATAAGCGATAAAGTTAATGAGGTCTTTTTTCATGTTTTGTAGGCAAGGTTCTAATTATTCTACTTTTTAATCTCAAACGATAAAAGAAACCAGGAATAAAAATCAAGCTTTTCATTTAAGATCAATCTATATTTAGGGGAAAAAAGTATTTATTGAATTATACGGGTCTTTATTACTTCAAATATCCTCAAGAGAGATATTTGTGCCATCATATGCATTGGAAGATATACTCTTCTGATTTTTTTGGTGTTGATATTCTAGGATGTTCCTTGAAGCACTGTTTAAAAATAATCTTATCATATAGTCGATTTCCAGAAAATCTTTTTACTTCTTACCCTCCATGTATTTAATAAATCGCATATATTTCCTGTAGTATTCTATCCTTATATAAAACCACTGAGTTAACTACTTCTATGAATCCACTGTTCATCTAGCTATGCTAATGAGGTATAGCAACTTGAACCGATGCATATATATATGCCTGATCCTACATTGTAGCTAACTGATTAAGCATTCTGCTTATTTTTAGCTAACTTATCATAATAGTTATATCATTCCAACAAATTTATTTGTAATATAAAAAGAAAAACGTACATTTACATTCATATTTCATGTATGATCAATCTACAATGTCAATATAATGCCCATTTCGAATGTTTATCTTATTCAGTGAATAAACTGACAATACATCGATAATCGATAAACAGTTTTATAGGATACACGATAAAGATGTCTATTCATTAGTTTAACTCGTTAATTCACTCTCTTTTTGAAATATATTCTTGACAGTTGGCAACTTTTAGTATAACCACACAATTTATTATTATTATTGTTGTTATTATTATTCGTTACCGTTGGGGGGGGAGGGGGAATAGATATACATGCATGTATACACATGTATATAAATATAGTATTTGAATGTACTAGTTGCTTGTCATAATTATTGATTATATGTTTAAATAACCTATTTTCTATAAGTAGTCTATGTTCAATGTGACTAAAATTAATATGATAGTAATGTTTTAAATGAATGATGTAATCTAGAAGAATCATACTTATAATGAGGAAGATATCATTAAACTACTATTTGGAGCCTGATATACACACTATAGGATATTCCATGATAATAGTATGGGAGAAAACGTTTTGTTGTTGTTTTAAACTGACCAAAATATCAGGAATTAATCTTAGTTAGAACACCGTTGAATAGTTGAAATCATTGAGATGGTGGAGAAGATCTGTAGCTCAGGTGGACGGTTTTGATGGAGTTTTGGTCTATGAGCTGGATGGTTTGGTTGTGGAGCTTTTATCGTTCTTCTGAACGACGTCATCAGCACAAACTTCAGATAGAAATGAAGTGTTCGAATTTCTCCATATGATTTTCACAGCTCGTTCTGCACACCTTGACGTTGATTGGTTCTTATTGACCTTAAATTTGTCATTGTTTTCTTCGAACACTTCACTTCTATTTGAAGTTTGTGCTGATGACGTCGTTCAGAAGAACGATAAAAGCTCCACAACCAAACCATCCAGCTCAGGGAACAAAACTCCATCAATTGAAATCATTGGATGACCGTTTCATTTTAGTATGAAACTCTTGACAACCCGGTATTTGGGCATAGAACCTAAATACCTCCGATTTGGATGGCATATGAATGCTTAATATCTAGAACCATGAATCGGTATCCAATCGTTCAATTTTGTTAAGTTTTTAATTGTGTTCTAATTAAGACTAACTTGAAATTTAAAAATTTATGTGAATTTCATTATCTCTACAAAATTCTATGCTGATCAAGAAACGTTTCAAGATGAATTGACAAGTAATACGGTGCATGTCTTACAATGTGTTGTAAGCTTTAAAGTGTTAGACTTGTCAATTAAGATAGTAATTGTTCATGATAAGCTAGTTTCCAGTGATTTTTGAACAGGTAGAAATCTATTATCATAACTATTTTCATACTGATTCAATTCATATACTTTACTTTATGAACTTGAAAAGTATTGAACATTTTGCAATGATTAATTCTCTGATCAAATAGATAATAATGATAATTATTCAATTCATTTATTAAGTACAGATTATTTTAGTCGACTTTGAACCATACTTTAGGTTTGAAGGTTAGTAATATGGTAATGATTCATAAACTGATGAAAATGAAATAATAGAAAAGCCCTAAAATTTACTGATTGAAATCTGAGTCCTTTCATTCTTTTCTGGTAAGTGTTTTTTTAGCGAATTAGTTTTCTACGGGATGGGGACGCTAACCTCATGCCCAACCCTCCTCCTTTACCCGAGCTTGGGACCGGCAGTAACTCTGGAAGAGCTACAGGAGGAGTTTAGTCCTTTCATTACTGAGCTCTGCTACATATATATATATATATATATATATATATATATATATATATATATATATATATATATATATATATACTGTTATATTCTTACTTTAAAGCTAAGAAGAAATTTTTAAGGTTTGTGAGGAAATCTCCTCTACATTATGAAGACGTTTGGCTGCTTATCTTTCACGTAGGGTATGATACATTTGTAATTTTTCTCAAAATAACACACTGCTAGTTATGACTGAAATATTGTGGAAAGTATATCAGTATATACGTATATATATATATATATATATATATATATATATATATATATATATATATATATATATATATCTTGTTTATAAGCATTTATGTTTAAAACATATTTCATGTATAGCTTTTATTTACTTTACTTACCTACGCCTGTTACTGCCAATGGAGCACAGGCATTCTCCAACTCGCTCTTTCCTGAGCCTTCTTTTCTAGTTTTATCCAATTTTTGTTCATTTTTTTCATGTCTGTCTTTATTTCCCGGTGTAATGTGTTCATTGGTCTTTCTCTTCTCCTTTTGGCCATGAGGATTCCACTCCGACTAGAGGCTATGGTTACTGCCGATTCTAAGCTCGAATAAAAGAGGAGAGTTGGGCATGGGGTTAACAATCCCATTCTGTAGAAAACAAACTTGCCATAAATAGAACACTAACCAGAAAAAATAATTCAAACCAGCTTTTACTTAACTTATAACTAATAAAATCATAAGGGAATATCTCATTGAATACATGAATTCCTTTCATAATTATAGTAAAGCATTTTATTTATCATGAACATTTATCTATTTATATATGAATTCTTTTATGGTTTTTTTTTCAGATTGTATTAATATTTTCACAGGCTGATAAACAAACTCAATTAATGATTGATGCAGCTCAACAATTAAAACATAATTGTACATTGATCAATACAATTAAACAGGATACAACACTAAAGGATATAGATAAGATTATTAATGAAAAGCTTATTGATGTACATCAGGTTAGTACTTCTCTCTCTCTCTCTCTCTCTCGATATTACTGTATTTATTGGCATATACAAGTGTTCATTCTAGATGGTGGTTGGAGGTAGTCGACAGGAAACCCTGGACACAGGTTTCGTGCTACTTGGCACTCGCCAGCAAGGTGTACTTGTAATCTTGAAGGAACTGGTGCTCCCTGACGGATTCGATCCCGTATCACCCAGCTTCACAGTTAGAGACGTGACCACTGAGCTATCCGGGCCGCGACTGACCTCCTGTGGGACTGAGATGTAATCACAATTGATTGATCACTGGGTGATGATCAATGTCATGAATATCAAGTCCTTATTTAGTGCAGATCAAATGCATGACAAGTGTTCATTCTATTTCTTTATTCATTTATTATTATATTACTTACGTTGAATGTAAGATCTCTGGTTTAAACTTCATCTAACAGAGATACTGTTTAATTACAAAACATAATAAATAAGATTTGTTATGAAATGATAAAAGAACACCTATTTGGAATTCAACTGGATCTGTTGTGAAATAGTAATTCACTGAAGACGATGGTGGATGTGTTGTTCAGTCTCGTGGATTAGTTGAAATTAGACATTAACACCATTGGATGTCAGTTTAGTGGTTTAGAGTTAAAGCTTTCGCGCGTGAAACCGATAGGTCCTGAGTTCGAATCTCGAGAAGTGGAATCGTGAATGTGCACAACTGAGGAGTCCCACAAAAGGAAAAGACTACCGTTCAGTGATTCTAGGTTTTCTATTGTTGTTTAGCTCCAATTGATTCATAATCTCAACTATTGAAATTACTATAATATCTACAAAAACCCCTTCCAATAAATATTTGTTTAACTTTATAAAATAATGAAGTCATTGCTTACAAAATATTACTAAACACATTCATCTATAATGAAACAGACATGGTTATACCGAGAAATCAATTTAGAATAATGTACATTACATATGTTATGAACCACTAATTACTAGGACTAGAATTAAAGTTCATTTAACTAAGTCTATTTGACAAATGGTCAGTTGTAAACTGAATAACTTATTGAGAATGTACCCATCCATGATAATTGGTTACGTGGATTCAAATCTCGCGACTAGTAACGGTTCCTTAAAGATTTCATGCAGTTACTAACGATAGGTTTATATGAAATATAATGTGAAATGAGATAATGGAATAACTTCTAATTTGTCATAGGAAGTTTGTCATTCACATCAAACTATTCACGCAAACCTACATGACGAACTTTAGAAATATTAACATTTTGAATGCACCTATTAGCAGTCAACTCAATATAGTGATTATGATCGAACGAAATTCTGACTCAATGAAAGTCCTTGAAAAATGAGCAACCTAAATTTAATTATTAAAAGTTAGTAATAGTTACTACTGCTTCTACCTGGCTAACCTTTGGTTTCACCATGAAAAATGTCCCATCGACAATTATCAATTGATTACTAATGACCAACTAATAAAGACAATTTCCAGAGTTCTAGAGAGAAACCATAATCATTGAAGTCCGAACTTGTCACGAGTCAGACAGTTATCCATAATACCCAATAGAACACGGTCTCACATTATCGCAATTTGTTTGAAATGAGATGTCAATACTGTCGAATGTCGGTTCAGTGTTCTAAAGGTTAATCGCTCGTACGTGATACCGAATATGATGTATTCTATTTCCAGATATAAGGTTTTAGATGGATACTGGTGTACGTCTGAGGAACCCTATACTAGGACGAGACCACTGTCTAATACCTTTAGGTTTCCATTGATTATCGAACTAAGATCAATTTCTCTCTTTAATCAAATGTATACTTAGTTTAGTCGTCATGTAACAAATAAATTCTTCTGTATCATCATTGTTGTTTTTATCATTTATTTGAATTAGATGATTTGCTTTGTAAAACCCATTTCTGATAAACATGGATGAAATTTATTATGATTTCAGTGAATAAAATCAATAATGTTTTACAGGATTAATAGTGTTTAGATAATGAGGACATTACTAACCAAGTTCATTTAAGGTCAACCTTAGATTTTTGTTAAAATATCCTTTGAAGTGAAGCACAAAAGATGGGGGTGGCCAGGGGATGGAGTGAATAAACAAACCTTCAAAAACTGAAACCTTAGCTGAAAATTGGTGATAAATAATTAAAATATTGATTACCTTGATGGTTTGATCATTTCTTCACGTGATTGTACCTTAAATTGAAAAGAAAATATATATTTAGATCATTTTTTTTGCTTAAGATCATACGTTCTGCGTAGATACGTCAGCCATACATGTCTAGAATTTCAATTCCTTTGTAATTTATATGGATGTATTTATGTTTCTGATATGTTGGTGATTAAATTTCTCCCGACCAAATCGTATTATTCGTTTATGGGAATACATTTTTTTTGTATACAGACACTGTAATTAGATATACACTAATTAAAGTAGAAAGGTATATCAAATATAATGAAAAGACCGGATTAATACAACTCATATTCATTGAAATCGGTGCAAGATATTGGTCATAGGCTGGTTGACTTACTATTAATGTTGATAGATCATAAAGAAACACAATATTCTTACTTTACTTACGCCTGTTACTCCTAATGGAGCATAGACCGCCGAACAACATTCTCCAACTCACTCTGTCCTGGGCCTTCCTTTCCAGTTCTATCCAATTTTTGTTCATTTTTCTCATGTCTGTCTTCATTTATCGGCTTAGTGTGTTCATCAGTCTTTCACTTTTCCTTTTATGTTGAGGATTCCATATGAGGGCTTGCCTAGTGACACAGTTCGATGCTTTCCTCAATGTGTGTCCTATTCACTTCCAGCAAATCTTCCTGATTCCCTTCTCCTCTGGAATCTGGTTTGTTCTCTCTCACAGTAGGTTGTTGCTGATAATGTCTGACCAACGGATCCGAAGTACTCTGCATAGGCAATTGTCAATAAACAATTGTATCTTCTGGATGATGACTTTCGTAGTTTTCTAAGTTCCCACCACATATAGTAGAACTATCTTGACATTTATATTGTAAATTCTGAGTTTGGTGTTGGTTTACAGACAGTTGTTTTTAGTTCCAGATATTGTACATTTGTAAATATGCTACTCTTGCTTTGCCGATCCGTGCCTTCTCATCTTCATGAGATCCATCATGTTCATCAATGACGCTACCTGGATATATGGAGGTTTTTACATTCTCCAAATTTTCTCCATCAAGTGTAATTCGATTGGTGCATGTTGTGTTGTATCTGAGAATCTTGCTTCTCCGTTTGTGTATGTTGAGACCTACTGCTGTTGAGGCTGCTGATACACTAGTTGTTTTCTCCTGCATTTGTTGTTGCGTGTGCGATAGAGGAGCCACAATATTCAGTTTCAGAATATTTTTCCATAAAGAATATAATTTGACAGAGCTTACCTTGACTTAGTAGTAGTCAACGAAAGAATTTCATTGCATTCTTTTTATCTGATTATCTTACTTTGAGAAACCTGGATAACCACTTATACCAATCTCTAGCGTAAAATATCCTTTGTGAACTTAAAACCATACAATATTGCTGGTTATTGCTACTCAAGGACTGATTACTGTAGAAATAGATTTCTCTCAGAACATAGGACATCGAACCACACTATTTGAAGAGTTATTGAAGAAACAAAATGCTACTTATTTCATAATCAATGTAATTATATTTTACTAATTTTTTTTTGGGTGTAAAAATAAAAGATTCAATGAAATTTCTTGCTGATATCAAATGTTTGGCATACTTTTCTATTCATTGTTTTCTTCATGATCCATGTAGATTATTGATATGGTTGTACTGGATATTCGTAAGCTGAAGCCGAACCGGTCTTTCAGTATGTCTGGTACCAAATCGTCACAATCCCCAGAAATTAATATCAGTAACAATAACATTAGTTCATCATTGAGCAACTGGTGTAAACAACTTAGAAGTTATTCATCGACAAAAGATTCAGTTATTGTAGGATTATTGAGTCGGAAATGGTGAGTAATTATTTGTTTATGGTATCTATACGTAGGTGAGGTATCGTGTTTTACTGTACAATACTAATGATATGAAGAATTCTGAGAAACAGGTGGCTAAATCCTATACAGTCAAAAAGAGTAAACGTAACCTAAAAGATAATTTGAAAATGTTTTATGACATTACTTGTTTAGAAAAACACTTTAAATATGTGTTAGTGTACATCTGCTCAAAATCGAACCTGTAATTGTCAAGATTAAAGCTAATTCACAATATTCCTCGTGATAGACGCTGGTAACTCGTAACAATATGATTATTACATAGGATTTGTAAAAACTTCATAATCTTCACAAAGTCATGTATCGATTCTTGTAACTTCTTATCATCCTGTCACATCGAAAACTACTAGTGTTGTAGCTTCGAAAACAAATACATTTTTATGTAAAGCTTAATACATTATTGGATGTTTCTTCAAGCAGTGCATATCTCAATACTTTATGTTTGCTTGTATAGATCTAGACTGGAAGTAAGCTAGAGCCAACTAATCCAAAACGTGAAGTCTGTCCACAAAGTGAATGACTATTGGATTGGTTCATGTTATTAGGTGTAGACTACCTGATTGTGATCGGCGTGATCATCATGATCAATTTTTTGAAACATTAGGTGATATTAATCAGAATTGATCTCAATGATGTAGGCACATTAACTCCTATTTCCATAGACTTTCAGTCTAAAAAGTAATCTAATCCTTTTTATCCCATGATTACGTTCTTTCATCTCGAATAATATTTTTTATGCTTATTATTTTATGGTACAACTGACATTTTTATTACTTCTATAATCGTGACATTTGTCATGATAATTTCATCTCTCTCTGTGCTGATATAATGTGACAACTTGTAACAATGCATAAATATACTAAGTTATATATTGTTTATGTCTGTTTGATATTGAATGTTTAAAGACCATGCTAATAGCATGCTGACAAGAGGTGGAAAAAGAAATTAAAGGATAACTATCTTTCCTTGATAATAACAAAAATCAGTGTTAACTCAAGACGTTGAGAAACACAGTTCTTAGTAATCAGTTTATACGTTATCTTTAACTTTAGTCGGTTTGTAGAAGACACAAACCTCATCAACAAATGTCATTACTGAGTTATTACCTCAATCGCGACTTGGTTTATTCCATCGGTCATAAGCTTCTCACTAGGACTATGAGTTACTCATCGTGAAACTTAACACTCTTCATCTTATGTCTGGTATTTAGTTGATAATGTAAGTATCATAACTATATCTCAAAACATTTTATACTAATTAAACATAAGATTAGATGAAAAAACAACACATTCAATGTAGTTCTCTTATAGAAGAAAGATAAAAGAGTCCGCTTTTGTAAAATGTAAAACAATAAGAAACACTTCCTGTATAAATAATCAAAGTCTGTCAAACATAACTATAAATTGACTAACATAGAATATATACAAATATAATATACAGCATCCCAGGTAATAGATATTGAAATACATTAATTCCATGTCAATACAAGATGTGATCAATGTTATTATAATGTTAATCAGTTGGTCAATCGCTGTTAAATCGCTATATACTCTCAAAAGTTCCATAATCACTTAAGTGCTCTGATCTACTAACTGGTCTCTGTAATTAGTAAGTAAACTATTTAATGGATGATAAGATATAATCAAAAATAATTGAATGTTATTCCTTAAAAACATGAACAAAGTCAACCAGTTGTTAGATCAGAAGGAGTTTTGTAGATGTTATAGTAATTTTAATAGATGAGATCATGAGTCAATTGAAGCTAGATCACCATGGAGATAGGCCATAAAGCTAGACCACCACTAGGAAAAGCTTATTGCACACACATACAGAAGTTTAATCTATTAATGAATCTAATAATAGTCCTCGTACATCGTACAAATAACCGTCTCTATAGCTCGATTCGGTGCAGATTTTTTTTGATTGAGATCATGAACCGATTGATGTTAGACCACCGTTAGAAACCTGGAAGCACCGGACGGCCGTTTTGTCCTATTGTGGGACTCCTCAGCAGTGCGCATCCACGATCCCGCTCGCGGGATTCGAACCCGGGGCCTTCGGTTTCGCGCGCAAACGCTTAACCTAATGAGCCGGTGTAGAATTCACATACACACTGTAATTAGTGACATTATGCTGAATTATTTTAATCGATAAATGTCGATTAGAAATCCAGTTCTCGTTAATTTAACACAATGTACGAATATAATGTGTACGCTTGTGGGTCTGGCATTATGTCAAGTACACATAGGCTACTCTAGCTTCTGGACAGACCAATTTATTCATTCTTACCAAGGTAGCTACATTTTGACATTGTCACTTATTTGTTTGTTAACCATGTTCGTTTTTATGTGTTCATATATGTGTTCCTTACTTACCATATTCATTATGTATCTGTGACTTATTTTTATTTGACTATAAATATCGATTCACTCTTGGTTAAATGGTATTGACTCACTCGTCTTCTACATTGTGCATCGTTTCATTTCATTTCACTTCCTTCACTGTGTTTCGTTGATTGCCTATCTAGATCAACGACTGTGTTCAATAAATTCACTATCGCGATTTAAGTCGATGATTATATACGAGGGTTGAAGGCATGTATATTTCGATGATAATAATAATACAATATAATTGGAGTTAGATACCAGTCCACTAAAAGTGATGAGTCTGTCAATAATACCACTGTCCTATCTAACTGGCGTCAAAATGAAGAACCACTTAAATGCTAACCTATAAGTGTCATTATTATTCTTTCTTATCAACAGAATTTGAGTTTAGTGAGGTGTGGTCAAGGATAAATTTATTATTGAGAATAGATTTAAAGTTATCCATCAGTTGCTTGTTCATATTCTACGATAACTATAAGTGACTACAATCGGCTTCTATTTACTATCTTTTCATTGTGAACATTATTGGTTCTCAACCTCTGTTACTTGAGGAATAAATACAATAAAATAGATACAGGGAATAGATACATTAAATATAATTGTCATACTTGACAAAAATCACACGTCCTATTGAAAGAATTTGAAACTGAATCAATACAAGATGTAGTGTAGTTTTTTCTCCTGTTCTATTGAATACACATCACAACGGTCAGTATTTTTCACATTCTGTTGTCAAGGTTAACACAGTTGATTTTAGCAGTTAGAGATTCAGCATCTAGTCATCAAAAAAACAAAATAAGACTATACCTTGAGATTGCATGTAAATCAGCCTAGTAATTATCAACATGCATTACATAATAGATATTTCTAGCCAAATGACTGCTTAAAAGATTAAATATTATGCGAAACTGAAAGATATTTGAATGACTATAGTCCTAATATAACTAAACATGTTTATTTAGTGTACTAACATTCTATTCGATATTTGGATATATTATTCTTCTTCCCACTTATTATATTCAATTTTACAGCTCTTCTGATCAAAGAAAAATACTCATGAATAAAGCTCTAAAATCTGGTTGTAATAAGGTAAGTAAACAAAGTATTTTGTTTTCACTGGTTGAAATCATGAATCAATTGAAGCTAGACCATCATGGAAAACCTAGAAGCACTGGACGGCCGTCCCGTCCTAGTATGGGACTTTTCAGCAGTGCGCATCCACTCTCCCATCCCCCGCCAGATTCGAACCCAGGACCTATCAGTCTCGCGCCAGGCGCTTAACCAACTAGACCACTAAACTGGCACCCATTGGTGTTAATGTCTAGCTTCAGCCAATCTACGAAGTTGCGCCACCGTACACCATTGTCTTCAGTGAGTTGATATCTCACAACAGACCTGGTTGATTTCGCTGGTAACGGCTTCTCACTAGAACTCCATGAGTATCTCTTGAAGTCAGTCACTAGTGAGCAGATGATTATTATCAGAGGAGATTTTGTGGAGATTTTAGAAATTTCACTGGTTTTCTTGTTTAACGTTCACCATGTTCTTTATCTTCAACTCTCTTCAAAGAAAAATAATATGTAAACATCCTTTCATAAAACGTTTTATTCAGTTTTGTGTTGAATACTTCAAAAGAGACTAAATACTTAAGTTTGTAATTGTCCAAGCGTTATATTCGAACGAAGTGTTAGATTTACCCCAACAACGTACAGCTTACTATTCAATACACTGGAAGTGAATGTTTGCAAAATATCATCCTTCATTATGTTTCTCTATTCTTTTCAGTAGTCTTGCATTCATTTGAAATATAAGAAAACTAAATTTTATCATTCTCAATTCACTTGGTCTTGTTTGTTAGAATCTACGCATTGAAGTTTAAGGCTGCAATTGATCAGTCTGTTTTTGGCACATGTACATACTGTGCGTATTCCCTCGATATTGCTTTAATTCACAAGCATTATAGGCAAAGATGAATAATGGCTAGCAGTGGAATACAGATAAGAAGAAACGCGCATCCCGGATTCCACTGCTAGCCACTGTCCATCTTTCCTTATCAAATTTATCATTCTCAGTTTGTCATAATTATAATGTATTTATAATGCACTGATGTGTAGAAGATTAAATGTTTGATGATTCTTGACTAAGTATAAGTTGTTAATTCAGAGAATAAATAATTGTCAGTATAGGGTTGTGGAGATTGTTCAGGTGAAATTGACATTATTAACGGATCAATAATCTCCACGACCCTATACTGATAATTATCATGCGCTCACTAGTAGACTAACTTCAAGATTGATTTCTTGGAATCCTAGTGAGAATCTGTGACCTGTAGAGTTCAACCGTGTTTGTTGTAGAGGCAGTTACTCACTGAGTACAATGAAGTACGATCGTGTAATATCGCAGTTTGGTTGAAGTTTGATATTAACACCATTTGATGCCAGCTCAATGGTTTGGAAGTTAAGTGTTTACACACATCAGACCGAAGGTATTAGATTCAAGTTCTACGTGTAAGATCGTGGATGCGCACTTCTAAGATGTTACACATTAAGACGAAACAGCTGTCCAATGCTTCCATGGTTTTCAATAGTGATCTCACATTGATCCATTTATAATATCAATCGAAACTCAATCAATAATTGAATCATTCGTATGAACTATGCGCTAAGTTTATATCAAATTACCAATTTAAATCACAATAAGATTCTCCATTTTAACTACAATCAATTCATGATAAATAATCAATAAATTTGATTGTCGTTTAAAAATTAAATTACAAAATTCAATAATGATTTAAATATTGATCAAAATTTAGTCAGATCTTATGTCTATATGAGTATATCAGAATTGATCTGGTAGATTATTGATTTATTATTATTAAAAAAAAATCAATATTTTTTCAATAAAAATCATTATTGATATGATCTGATTATTAATTATTATTATTATTAGCTTTATTCAATATTATATTTTTGGTACAATATAGAATTCTCAGCGCAAAAGTATTTCAACAAGTTTCCGTTTCTTTCTTCTTGGCCGGTCCTGGCGATAAATATTGAGTGATCGCCAGTTAGATGTTAGCACTTCAGTCAGTGAACATCTGAATAATGTACATTCTTTTCGTTGTACATTGCCAGCAACCACATTGTCTCTTATTGAGTTTCTTGTAACTTTGACAACAAAAGGTTGTACACTTTTCAGAAACGCAGCAGAATAGGTTATGCGATTAATAAACATAATGATATATTAAAACAAACAAAAATAGATAACTTGTTGAAATATCTAGATGGCAGGAACAGGTAGCCTAGATGCTCAAGCAGGCCGCCTTAATTAAATAATTTAATTTTCGGGATTTTTTTTCAATGTTAAAGATGTTTAATTGAATAGTGATATTACAGTAATATGTATTAAATATGTTGATAGAGTTTTGTTCTCTAAGCTGAATGGTTTGGTCATGGAGCTTTCATCGTTCTTCTTTTGGACGACATCATCAGCACAAACTTCAAATAGAAGTGAAGTGTTCGAATTTCTCCATATGCATTTCACTGCTTGTTCTGTACACCTCGACGTTAGGTTGATTCTTATTGAACATGAATTTGTGCTGATCATGTCGTTCAGAAGACCGATGAAAGCTCTACAACCAAACCATCCAGGTCGGAGAACAAAACTCCATCAAAATCATCCACTTGAGCTACAAATCTTCTCCACCGTACTAAATATGTTTAACCATGTAATCGTTAAAACTGATGCATAACACTTTATCAGCATGTTTTCTTAACTAGAACAATATTGAAAAACAGAGATTAATAAATAATGTTACCGACTGTTATGATAATATCTGGAATGAGAGTGTGTATGTATTGAATATAGAACATTCAGACTTTAAAAAGAGCTGGATGTTATTAAGCTTATAAGTCATTCAGTCAGTTAGCTACAACGTATGACCGGGCACACGCATCGGTTCAAGTCGCCATACCTCATTCGCACAACAGCAAGATGAACATCGGATTCATAAAAGTAATTAATTCAGAGGTGGTAATATATTAAAGAAAGATTGCATGTAGGGATATACTACAGGAAGAAAGAATTAGTTCGTAGAGAGAAAGATATGGAGCGATTTTAATCTCTTTGTTTAAGGGAAGATAGAGCGTGTATATACCGACGCCATTGTGACCGATTCTGAGCCATGTCGTCAAGAGTCTTCAACCATTGGTTACGATAGTCACGCGGACCCCAACCAAGTAGTCTGCATCTACCAACATGGCTCAGACTAGAAGTTAGTGACTTCAAGCATCCACCTAAATGCCCTTCTGTTTGGTTTAAACTACCTATCTGGGCATTAAAGGCACCTGCTACGAGTACTATGTCTGAACGTTTAGCTTTCTGAAGAAGTTCAGATAGCTTTCTGTAAAATTCATCTTTCACTTCATCCGAGCTGCAGTCGGTGGGAGCGGAGGCAGAAACAACAAAAAGGCAACGACGTGTGTCCCCATGCTTTCGAGTTCTTACGGAGCCGTTTAGCCGAACAGCACATAAACGACTGTTTATGAGGATCCATTCTAACAGTGCTTGTTCCGTCCTCATGCTTAGTGCTATGTTTGCACCTGCCAGTCCACGAGAACTGGCCGTCGGGTCACCAGATACACGGAGAGTGTATCTCGTTGGCTCTCCGTTTTACCGAGGTGAGGTCAAGTAAATGACCACCTTGGGATCCTGTATGCATGTTTCAGAGACACAGCATACATCAATGGTACGAGATTCTAGAGTTCTAGCCAAGGAAATTAAGCTTATAGACTGATAACTAATTGTTTAAAGTTCTACTTATTATACTGTAAAACGTATATTTATTATTATCAGTAAATAACTGCTTTAATCAAGATACTGCTGAGCATTATGAATATAATGAACAAAGACTTATTGAGAGTAAAATAATTTATTTCATTATATAAAATCATACACTGAATTTGTAATATATTAAAACAGTAAAGTTTCAGTTTGGAAAAGGATAGGAGGCTAGGTGGCCTCTGTTGGTCCTAGCAATCGTGATCTCTCAGTTGATGAAAATTTCTTTTGATAGCATCGATAGATGAAGTTTCAGCCACTTATTGAGGTAATGAGTCCCATTCATTGTTGATTCGATGGGAAAATCGATAATCAGCTGACAAGTAATTTGTTCTAGGCTTGTAAAGTTTTTGTGAGTGTTCTCGTAAATTCTCTGTTCTGCAAAACATGAAAAGTGAGGGTATATCTCGTACCTGTTTTGAAGATAGGACTTACTATGGCATTCTTCCAGTCTTTTAGTAACGACTCTGGGTTACAAATAGATTAAAACATATACTTAAGGTATTCGCTACAAAATTTGTTAATTCTTTTAGTAACCTAGGATGCATTTCATCGGGCTCCACGGATCTGTCTGTATCAAGCTCATTTAGTAGATCAGAAACTTCGAATTATTTAGTGGTTACAGTGTCTAGTGTGTATGAACTGAAGTTGAAGGCATCTCTACGGTATATACATTGCTGAAGTAGTTCGAGAATACGTGATCTTTACCATAGTGCTACTGTCATCCCATAATACTGGAATATTTCTTCTTCTCTTAGTCCTTCGGTTTGTGCACGAATATAAGCGTTCTATAGATTCCCTGACAAGTTTTTGTTTTACAAACTTCTAAACTTGCAAAGGATCAAGGGACAAATATTTAGAGGTTCTGGATATTGAGATTTTGTTTCGTTAGTACCCGGTGGCCTAAATCCCCCTCAAATTCTTCTCCTCTTACGGAGAAGAGTGTAAAAATTGCTGAATTTTGTAATGAGTAAAACTGAAAGTCAACGCAATGAGTTCCAACGTGTATTTATGAAAAACGGAGTTCAACCATGTTGGATGTGTGACGGGTATCAAATGGATAATGATCATGTACTTTACGAACTTGAATTTAAAAACTTAAATCGGTGGATGATAACTGATTAGCCTATAAATTAAGCTTTCCCTATTTAATGTCGAATTTGTTAGTAGTTTAAGAATAATCCTCCACAAAAAAAGCAAATGATTTTTGCTTTACACGTACACAGAAATTCTTAGTACTTAGATTATCT